TGTCTTGTAAAAGATAATCGTGAAATGTATCGAGACGGACAAGGAGTTTAATATATTGCCGACCTTAATAAGGAGCACATAGGAGGCTTAAAACAGAAAGTGATCTTTAACCAGTTTTTAAATTCATCATCGGTCGTGTTTTCGCTTGCTTAGACAGAAGCTTATTCGAGTTATAGTTTTAATCAAATTGTATTTTCAACATTGTCTAATAGAGTTGATTAGCGTGCACGATAGCAGAGTGAAGCAATTTGACAAGTTCACGCGCAAAGTTTGATAATCAAGAGTTTACACGCGCGTCGTGTCTTCTCTTGCGAGGTAATTTTCGTACCTGCGCACTGGACTGGCCCACAGAAAAATGCGATAAATATTTTCACCATTTTAAACTTAAAAAACACAGACGCCCATAAATGTCGTATCATAAAATGAAACCTTTTGTTGTCATCCTAGATATCATAGATATCTGTTCAGTGGAAATCGAGGTCTGTTCGTGAGAGCCTGATCAATTTTTCACGCAGAAACAAGGGCTAAGANGAAATGTATCGAGACGGACAAGGAGTTTAATATATTGCCGACCTTAATAAGGAGCACATAGGAGGCTTAAAACAGAAAGTGATCTTTAACCAGTTTTTAAATTCATCATCGGTCGTGTTTACGCTTGCTTAGACAGAAGCTTATTCGAGTTACAGTTTTAATCAAATTGCATTTTCAACATTGTCTAATAGAGTTGATTAGCGTGCACGAAAGCAAAGACTGAAGCAATTTGACAAGTGCACGCGCAATGTTTGATAATCAAGAGCTTACACGCGCGCCGTGTCTTCTCTTGCGAGGTAATTTTCGTACCTGCGCACTGGACTGCCCCACAGAAAAATATGCGATAAATATTTTCACCATTTTAAACAAAAAATACAGACGCCCATAAATGTCATATCATAAAATGAAACCTTTTGTTGTCATCCTAGATATCATAGACATGTGTTCAGTGGAAATCGAGGTCTGTTCGTGAGAGCCTGATCAATTTTTCACGCAGAAACAAGGGCTAAGAGTTGTAGCTATTCGAGAGATAAATAAACAATTATTGGTTGAGAAAAGTATACCTGTCGTTTTGTTATGCATAACTTAAGAGTCCCTGTCCATAAAAATGAAAAATAACTCGGCAAGGATCGAAAATTCGATTTCGCTCATATT